ATTAAAAATACGAATCCAGCAGTTTAATTAGGAATCTCCGTGTAGGAACCAGTACACAAGGCAACCAGCAGGTAAACTGAGGGTATGGTCTGGTGCTCCCGGCATGTAGGAATGTTGGAAACAAGATTACAAGTGCGTTGCACCAACCATGAGCTCACAGTTGGATGCTTCCTCAGTAAAGCAGTTGTGTTCAGCTGCAGTGATTAAATTGGTACAGGAGACACCACCACATCTCTTGCATACCTTGCCAGGTTCCTTCTCCTTCCAAATGTCCCTCCTGACCTTTTGGGCAGCTATTCCCCATTATTTAAATTTTTTGCATAATTACTAGCAATATTTCTCAGATTCCTGTATAAACCTGGACATCAGTAACACCTTCACATTTTACAACTAGCCACGGAAAGAAGTAATTCCTTTGCAGTTATTAGTAGTGGACACAGATGTTTCCTCTGGATTGCAAGTTTTCTTGGGAAATGTGCCCCTTAGCAGTCAAATTATTTCTAGGATTTCTAAAAATATTAGGGAAGGTGCTCTTTAGAACATAAAAATAATACCTTTACTTAAGAATATACACACACACATCTAATAGAGGAGTGATGATTATTTTAATCTACTGCAAGGTGAACCCAGACTTGTGGGTAATGTGTCTTCAGGGGACACACAGAGATCACACATCGCAGTGAATTTAAGGCCCCCATGAAGTCTCCAAAGTAGGTTTATGGTTTCTATAGATATAAAGATTGAATCTACAGATTCAATGCCCTCCATCCACCAGGCCTGCAGAGGTGTGGGGGGGGCACTGCACCCTTGACAGAACCAGGATACCAATCTGCTGTACCCTAGAACCTCGAACAGACTGGAGCTCCAGTGCCGTAGAGCTGAGCTGAACCCTGTGCCATGCCTGGTCTGGCATCTCCACCATTCACCAAGTCCTGCTTGTGGTGGCAGCATCTCACCCCACATCCCACTGTGGGGAGCAGGGGCTGAGCTCCACCTTCATCCTCATCAAAGAAAGGGAGGAAATACCTTCTGCCACAACTCAGCTGTGGTAAGAGAAAGGAAATCCACTACCAGCTGTGGCCTCCAGTCAGGAGAGCACGAGGACAGGAGATGCCTGGGGAAGGACGTGGCTGCTTTAGCACAAATAGACCCATCTCAGTTTTGGCTGCTTGGGAAAAATGCCTGAATAAACCTCCTTTGGTTGCCAATGTTTAATGACAATTCCTCTCCTCACAACGGCCTTACAAATCTGTCTGTAGGAAAATGCCTTTTGTCTCGAGTTAAGATTGCACTAATTTAAAAGGCAAATGCACTTAATTAAACAGGGCTATTCCATCACTCCCCACTGCCTCCTCGCCCCCGGAGAGGGAACCTCTTGCCCCGGGTCTGCGTCGTAAAGCCTCATCTCCTGGGTTTAATGAATCAGCAAATTCAAACTTTATTTACAGGAAAGGACTATATTTTTCTTCTTCTTAAGTACCAGAAATTCTGGGAACAGCCAGCATAGGCAGTGCTAAATATCTGATCAATTAGGCCCAGAGATGCCAGTGTGGGACTGTCCAAACATGCCTCCTGTGGCTGTTCCAGGGGGATCATGAACTTCAAACGCTTCCTCACAAAACCCAGTGCAGTTGGATGATCCAGAGGACTCAGCCATGAATAATTAGCAAATTGCCATTCATTATTCACTTTTTGGAACCACTGCTTCTCTGCATTTTTCCCGCAAGGCTCCAACTTTCTCTTTTACAGCTGCTGCATTTATTATTAATAGCTGGATCTTAGACATGGCCAACAACTCCTCAGTTAGGGAGACGATAAATTCCAGTATGTTCTTGGGATCTGGGATATTCATAACTCCCCAGACACGAGAGTGTCTTCTGCAAACTGATCTGGCTGCCTGTCCCCAGGACAGAAACAGCTCTAAGTGTCCCTGCTGTGTGTCTTCTGGCCCTGGGGACCAGCCAAATTCCAGATACATTCTCCTACTGCCTCATCACCCCACGGGCATCTTCTGGGACAGCTCCATTAATGTCCCATCTCCTTGGCTCAGTTCATGTCCCAGCCACACAAAGTCAGCTTGTACCTTGTCCTGACACCCCCTGACCTCCTTCATGACTTTCTGGTAGCTCAAGGTTGCCTTGATGGATCACAGAAACCTAGAGCCTCTCCATAACAGATGAAATAATCCTCATTCTGGTATCCTGGAGTTTTATATCTGCATTGAATTCAGACACCAGTAATGGAGAAGGGGCTTAGCCCTGTCCCTGAGAAAGGTTCCCAGCTGTGCACAGTTTCTGTGTTATTTATGTATTATAGGGGGATGTGCAAAGAAAAATACACAGCTTTTCTAATTCTGTGCTACACACATTATTATTAAAAACCTCAACCTAAGAGCAGAAAGAAGCAGCCAAATGGCAACTTCCCAGCGATGCTGGACAAGGTGATGACACCAGACCTTGCTGATACCCTGATACCAGGGGGCTGCTCTGTGCTCAGGGTCAAAGCTCAGGTATCCAGACTCAAGGGTTCAAGTGCTCCAGCTGTAGGGTTGTGACAACCTCTCCCATGTCTTTGCACACTTGTAGTGGTTTCCCATGGGATGGCAGTGAGATGTGTGGTGGGGGTCCCAAATCACTGCACCACTGATGTTATTCCAACCATTTCACATAAAATCACAGAACCACAGAATATGTGAGGTGAAAGGGACTCACAAGGATCATGAAGTCCAACCCTCAGCCCTGCACAGGACCATCCCCAAGAGTCACACCAGGTGCCCCAGAGGATCATTCAAACACTGCTTGAGCTCTGCCAGCCTTGGTGCTGTGACCACTGCCCTGGGGAGCCTGTTCAGTGCCCAACCACCCTCTGAGGGAAGAACCTTTTCTGAGATTCAATCTAACCCTGCCCTGACACAACTTCAGGCCATTCTCTTGGGCTCTGCCACTGGTCCCCACAGAGCAGAGATCAGTGCCTGCCCCTCCTCTTCCCCCCCCAAGGAAGTTGTAACTGCAATGAGGTCTCCCCTCAGTCTCCTCCAGCTGAACAGCCCAAGTGCCCTCAGCTGTTCCTCACACGGCTTCCCCTCAGGGCCCTTCCCTATCTTTGTTGCCTTCCTTTGGACACTCTCTAATGGCTTCCTTATATTGTGGTGCCCAAAACTGCACCTCAAACTATATCTTTCCAATGCAATTACAGACGAAAACACACACTGAAATAAGTCATAAACTCTAATTTTTAACGCTTCTTTCAAGTAACATGATGATCAAATTACACTTAACCCTACATTTGACCACTGAATGTTGCAACCAGCCAGGAACTGCTCCCAGTTCCCTCACACATACCTGAACCAGAACATATGTTCTGCTATCATTGCCAAAAAAATTAAATGTAAGTAGAGCTTCACAAGACAAAATCCTCTCTGAAGGATTAAGGAATCCACATTTAACAAGTTGCCACCCTGTGATTTTTTTTTGTAGTTAAAATATTCCTAGATATGTTTAATGCAAATTATCAGCAACAAAAAAACTCCACCAAATGATTTTCATGTCCAACCAAAATCTAGATCACCACCTTTAGAAATCTCTCTGTTTTTTGACTATAATAAAAAAAATCATAGTATAAAATAAGACATTTCATCTTGGTCTTTCAGTCAAACCTCTGAGCCAACATCATCCCCCATTTCCTTCTTGAGGTCAGGATCAGACCCAGATTTCAGCATTTTCTCTCAGACCATTCTGCTTCACATGTCCCATCTCTTTCATGATGGAGAACATCTATTTTTTTGATTTGTAAGAAGGTACTTGGTACTTACATGACATTTTCAACCTCTGCATCCCAGAGTGCTTTTTAAGGATGGCCCCTCACAATACAAGACTGACAATATCCTGGTAGCAGCTCAGAGACAGATTCAGCTCTGCTTTGTTCAGATGAAGCCAGACCTTCATTTTCCCTTCTCTGAATTGCAAATTTACCAAATTCCATCTCCTTCTGGCATAATATTCCTTTGTTTTCACTTGCATTTTCTATTTAAAATAAGTGCAATATCGTTCCCCCTTTGTTAACGATTCCTCAAATATTAAATATATGGCAGCCAAGGTTCTGTGCTGTTTTCTGCCTATTACAGCTCTTCTGCAGAACTTTGGAATAACCTGACAATACACATCATACAGGGAATATGTTTAGAAGGAAGTTTCATGGCTAGAAGGCAATAACTGTAGGATTTAAGCAACTGAAAATGTACATTTTTGCTCAGTAAGGAGTATCTTTATGTAGAGAAAACCATGTAGGATATATTCTGAATTTTGTCTTTCATTTTATTCACTATCAGAACAGACAGTTCAGCACCAGAGTTCAACTCTGAACATCTTTGCATGCCATTAGCAGAAGGCTAAATATTCAACAAAGGTGAAATGCTACCAATTCACAGATAAAAATACCTACCAAACAGGACATCTGAGACCCATTTTAGGCAACCTCCACGCTGAAAATCCTGATGCTTTGCCTCTTACAATGCTTACTGTCTTTTCCAAAGGATTTCACCTCAAGTCTTCTCTTCTACCAGAGGCCCACGACCAACAAACCGAGGTGTGAGCAGAGCTCCAGCACACCCCAGTTCTTCAGCTCAGGATATTCCTTGTTGGAATACCTTGTGGAAAGTTCTAATCTTTGTTTACAGTGGTCCCTTAGGGATCTGTCATTGCTCTTCTGAGCAGAAAGATGTTGCTGTGACAATTCTGCCTCTACCCCACAACGGCGGGTTAGGTTTAGCTGTGAGTTCTTTGACAGACCCGTAACTCATCCATACCCCCAAAACGTGCCAACACCTTCAGAGCAGAAACCCTCCTGCAGCATGGGATAATCAACCAGGTGCATCATTTCCAGTACTGAGGAACGCAATGGTATTTAGAGGGGAGAAAAGCACACGACTACTTTTTGGCTTTTGAATCCATGTCTGTGTAACAAACACCCATGAACATCGGCCACATGTCCACATTACTTACGGTTGAGAGGCAGGCTGGCATTGGTCGTCCCTAGCTTGTTGGTAGCGACACAAGTATAGTTGCCAAAGTGCTCTTCTGTCACATTGGTAACAGTAAGAAGTGATCTTGTACTATAATTTTTAATAGTGATTCCTTGTTGACCATTGATCAGTCTAGAAGGCAAAAAGAAAATGTCTATAACTCATATACCATAACCAAGATTTTCTTTTTTTTTAATATCTCTTTATTTTTCTTGTTTTACAGACACCACCGGCAGCACCACCAGCTCTTTGCAAGCTGCCAGTGTCATCTGCTGAGCAAAACTCCCACAGCGGAGAGGTCACATGCAATGCTAGAGCTGGGAGTATTGAGGGGAAGAGTTGCCACTCCCTGTGTGTCCTATAGTTGAAAGAAAATAAAGACCCACATCCCCTCCTGCCTTGCCAGAGTGTGGGATAGAAGCTCTCAGATGGAGAGCTTAGGTTGTGAATGGGGCAAATCCAACTGAAAATGTAATACCCTCTTTAGGGCAGAGAAGTATTATGGTAAGTCTTTCAAAGAGTGTTTTTCAGACTCGGGAGTTTGTTGTCTCCTTTCCCACCACCAGCTGATGGAAGGTGAGGATTAGAAGCCAGAAATATGACTGTGGGATTCCAACCACGGTTTGTTTTACAGGGCTGCAAATTAGACTTGCAATTAGGAACATGTGCTGAGTCAGCAACCTGGGTAGGAATGAGGGAACCAAGTGCAGGAAGAAGCCAAATCAGGGCTCTTTTCACTCGGCTTTGAGCTCCCTACCCCAAATTTCACAGGAACTGTGCAGGTGTTTTGGTATTGCTCCCAAAGCCATGTCAGAATCATTGCTGGTGCACCGGGATGACCAACTTAAATGGTGTTGCTGCAGGCAAACCACGTCTGATCAAACAAGGAGATGAAAAGGGTAACCATGTTATTAAAAAACTCACTATGGTTATTACTCTTAATTCCTTATATTTCCCATCAGGAGCAGAGTTTCAGATTAAGAATACAATTTTTGCCTGCTATATTGGCAGATATAATGGTATATCCTGGGAATTAATACAGTCTTCTACATTTCTGTCTAAAAATCTTCAAAAATCTGTCATTAATTGCAATTCTGCATGTTGTGAACTGAACACTCCTCATCGTTACGTGAGTGCCTCTCTTCCCACTGGATCACTACAGGCTGCTCACTCATGGGGACTTCTCTTCCCTTTGCTGCTTGTGTTGGTGTAGAGGACTCTGCTCCTTCAGCCCATGGTTGGGGAGAGGACACGGCAAATCCCATGGACACACAAGATTTTGCATGAAATGTAAAAGAAATGGGATTGAAGTGCCTGGTTTGGGGTGAGTACTGCAGCTGGAAGATTCATCTCTTCCTGTGCAAGGCAGAGGTTTGTCCATTCAGCCTATGCACGAGGATGTTCCTCTAAACCCACCAATGTCCCTTCGCTTCCTCCCTCTCGTGCAGACAATCCTAAGAGCCTCCTTCACTCCCAGACCCACCCATCACACTGTGGTTCACACCCACTGACACTGGGAGGGCAGGAGCTGCAGTCATGGCCACCATCCCTTCTCACTGCCTTCCAGGGTTTGATCCCTGCCCCTCTCCCAGGGAAACTTGGGGTACTGGAATCACAGCTCCTTGTCCACCTATGGCTTGTTCTTTTTTGGGAGGGTGGTGAGGCCCTGGCACAGGCTGCCCAGAGAAGCTGTGGCTGCCCCACTTCTGGAAGTGTCCAAGGCCAGGTTGGACAGAGCTTGGAGCAACCTGGGACAGTGGAATGTGTCCCTGCCCATGGCAGAGGGTAAGATGAAATGAGTTTTGAGGTCCCTTCCAACCCAAGCCAGTCCGGGATTCCATGGTTCCTGCCTGCTCTTTCCAAGCCACCTCCACCCCTTTGGCCCATAACCACAATTTGAACTACAGCATCTCTATTTTACAGTTGTAAGGTTTAACTCATTTTTTTTGGTCTGGAAGACATTGTGGGGGGTGGAAATTTTGCTGTCCCCATGCCCTGTAAGGGGTGACATTTGCCTCAAAAATAACTGTCTGCTTATTGTGACCTGCTGCCTTCCCAGGCTGCTGAGAGGATGAGGTCTGTGGATGCCAGCTCACAGCCCTTTTCCTCTTAGTCCTGCCCCTCCTTCCTCTCCCACTTCTCCCACATCACCATCCCTCCATGTCCCTGCTGGAAGTGGCTGATGCTGGCGGCCAGGACTGGAGGTTCTGGAGTAAATGGAACTGGGTAGATGTGCATATCAATAAGCCAGGCAATTAATGGAGTGAGGAGCTGGCATTAGTTTGCATAAACTCAGCAGTTCCAAGGGTTTCCATTTGCAGTTGTGAGAAGCAGATGCTTTTACTTTTAAATTAATTGCTCCCGTGAGCTGCTCGGCTTCGTTTATTGACTGAACACACATTTATCACTTGTCTGGGTTTCACTGAGCTCTTTCCCAGCCTGGAACAGCATTTTAAGTTGTGCGCAGCTGCCCCACGTGTTCCTTCACCTTTCTGCTTTGCGCCAGTTAGAAAGGGAAGAGCGATCTCCTTTTTATTCTAGAGATTACTCCTACACATCCAGAGCTCATGCATCAGTGCCAGCCCCCGGGGGGAGCCTGCCTTTGGTATCAAATTTGAATACCTTCACCTTATTATAATATATTAAGCCATTATAATGAGTTTTGTTATTTCAAATGTGTGTCTTGTTTGCTTTGAGAAGAAAAAGGGAATTAATATTTTAATATTTTATTTAGGTGACTTTTGGGCTTCTTCCCTGTGGCTGTTTAATGTCTGAGATCTAATTTCTGTGTAACCCTAAACATAACACACTGAACAGACGTGGATTTTGGAGATGGCACAGTGAAGTCATTCTCCTCTCCACCGGGAATCCTGCTACAATTTTAGAAGCCGCACACATTTATAAAGCCCCATCCCTGGAGGTGCCCCATTCCTGGAAGTGTTCAAGGCCAGGCTGGACAGGGCTTGGAGCAACCTGGGATAGTGGAAAGCGTCCCTGCCCATGGCAGGGGTGGGACTAAATGGGTTTAAGATCCCTTCCAGCCCAAACCATTTGATGTTTCTGTGATAATTTTAAGAGGCTTTTACTAACTTCTCCCCCAAATTTTCTGTCTCTTCCCAGCTCACCCCACCCTGGGCACCAGCATCTGTAGAGAGTTATCGAATAGCAGCCCTCGGAAACTCAGTGATTAGGCAGAATTAGCCTCTCTGCCTCAAAGACTAATATTTTTAACTTAATGCAGTCTGTTACAGCCTTTATGCTTAGCTTTAATGACTATTTTGTGATAAGATGATCCCTTGAGTCTGGAAATGGTGGGTTTGGATTTCCATTAATCTAAGTAACAACAATACAGTTTACAGGCCCAAAAGGCTTGTTTCAGACACTGAACATACATTTAGGGTTTCAGATGTCCAAAAATACAAGTCCCAGTCCAAGAATATCTGAAGCAAATGGGATTCTCTCTATTCTGTTAACAGAAAATACAGCAGGGTGTGCACTCCCAGGGATAAATGTAGTCCTGAAGTACAGCTGCAAATTATCTGCCTGATAATGTAGATGCTACTCTGAGCTACCTCTGAGAACTTTGCATTAAACCAATGACTGAGCTGCCCAAGGCTCATCTTGTGCTGGCTGCCCATTATCCAGAGGGAAAGGGGATATACTGAAGGAAAAAACAGAGAGTATGGATTTCCTTCCTTCCTGCAAGTGAAGGGGTTTCAGAGATCCCCAGCACATTTGTAGTCATCTGCCAACAACAGTTCATAAAATATCCTGAGTTGGAAGGGACCCACTAGAATCATCAAAGTCCAACTCCTAAAAAGGATGGAGCGTTAGATTTAACACAACATTTGAGCAGCAAGACCCAAAAGGACAGTACAGTTCTTGCTGAGGTGAAACACCAACTGAAACTGAGACAGAAGCACAACTCTGGTGTCCTGAAATGCTCTGCTTCGTCTTTCCTGCTGCTGCCTTGGCAGTGAGTGCACTCACGGGAAAGGAATTTGGTCAGTGTTATAAATAGAAAGGTGATTAGCACGCTGGAAAGGGCTGATTGAATCTGGAGTGCTAAAAATGCGCTGAAATATTTCCTACACAAAATATATTCCTGCTGCAACTCTCCCCAGGATGGGCACAACACAACGGGCATCTGTGCAAACAGGATGCAGCTGAATTTTGCCAACAGAGGAAAACCAGTTACTGTCACATAAAGGTCAGGGTTTAGAGAATGTTTTAGGATAGGGTGAAGTGCAAAGCTGCGACTGCTCAGCAAAGTGAAGGGGGAGGAGGAGCGGCTCCTGCTGAGGGAGGGGAGCAGCTGAGACATGAGCTGACAGATGGCTCTCCGTGAAAAAGGGTCATTAATATTCTCCTGTCAGCATCCCAGGTTTAGAGGGATGTTTGAGCTGAGAAACCCAACACTTGGAAGCTGGGAAGTTCCAAAAGCTTGACACTCAGTTACAAGGGACAACATCCACTTGCTTTTGCACAGATATGAGAACCTACCAGAAATAAGCTCTTAGACAACCCAAGAGCTGAAAAACCCAATGTCCTACTAAAAATGGAAACTATCTACCTGTTTAATGAGCCGGTTTTAAAATAAAGCTGACTCTACAGAGATGCCTGTTACCATTCCGTAACACTAATGACCTGGAAGTGAAGCTGGCTGCAAACAACCCCAAAGCACAGAATCAATTTTTAGGGCTTAAGCAAGGAGCACTCCCTGGACCCACTCTTGAATGCAGTGACCTGCAGAGCTCTGTGGAATACAGACCCACGGTCTAGACCACCAGTGGCACAACTGGTTGAAAATCCATACACAGGAAGATTTGGTTGAAAGTCTTGCTCATGAAACAACCTTTCCACCCCAAAACCCACAGCAGGAAACCTGGGAAGATGAATTTAAAAAAAAAAAAATCCTTTTAGTAGCTTTTTCAGTGCCTTTTTTTTTTTAATTATACTTAAGAGGCTGTAATTACTAAAGCACATTTGAATGTTAGGCTTGTTATGGCAATTACCACTCTCAGAGCCCAGCACAGCCTGTGTCCAGAGCAGGAAATACAACCACGAGGATACTGAGCTGCTCCCCCAGTACTGCACAGCCAATGCCTCCAGGTACCCACTGCTGGAGCTCGGCATTGATTGCACGCCAGGCTGCTGGACTTGTCACCATGGGGACAACCCCAGCCTGGTGGCTCCTCTCTCTTCCACCCTGGTCCCCGCGGGCAGGCAGCAGCACCGGCTACTTACTTCCTCTCTCCTTTGTACCACTCAAAGATCGGGGCAGGAACTCCTGCACCTTCGCACCGTATCAGGCCGTTCCCTCCAAGCACCACACCGCTGGATTTAAGTTCCTGAATTGTGGGGGCAACTGAAAGAAAAGAATTGTAAAATGGATGTTGGCATCTGGACACGCAGATCATTCAGCGCCACTGCTCCTCGGTGCGCTCGGCCTGGCGTGAGTGGTCTCCAGCTTGGTTCACATTCAACCAAATTTGCTTCCAGCAAAGTCAAAATTACCCCACACCACAGGTTCTGAGATCTGTCCTATGTGTTTGGTGTAAAAACACAGCTGAGACGTGGAGAGAGATTAATCCAATTCTGAAAAAAAGCTGGTTGTCCAACAGTTACTCAGTGTAAGCCACAATTATAAGCATTAGTGTCATACAAGATGTATGTAAATCCTGGGAACTGGAAAGAAGCACATGGAACCCCAAGAATGGTGCACTCAGAGGCTCCCACTGGGCTCAGCTGAGGAATCCCTGGCATTGGGAGGGTACAGCAGTGCCCAGGCCATAAGGTCCCCAGTTTCAGCACCTCTTACCTCCTGCATCATGGCACCTGTAAACAGCACACAAACCCCGGAGCTCAGGTGGCCTCTGAGTCCCTGTTTTGCATATTTAAAAAATAAACCTTCAGGATGGTGAGCCACCCATCAATCTCACAGAACGGTGACTCTCCCAGCATTGCACTGGATATAACGTTGCTTTAGTAAATGTATTTTGTATTTTTAAATAGTAAACATTGTAAACAGTAATGAACATTTTGAGCTTAGAACCACAGATACAAATAAAGATAAAAAGCCATTGTCAGGTTTTCCAGTTGCCAGCAAAAGGCAACAGTGAGCTGAAAATAAAACACAGCAAATTCCTCAGGAAAGAGATTATCAAAGGGAACAACTGCCTCCCCCCTGGAATTTCTTTTATGTTTTCTAGTTTGATACAATAATTTATGTGCATCATCAAAACACTATAAAAACCAAACCACAGAACTTATAAATAAAAATCTGTTTACTTTTTCCCAAGCAGTTTTCCAGATGTTGCTTCAAGGTGTTTATGTTCATGTAGAGCTCTGACTGCCTCACGTCTGCTTCCTGCACCATCTCACCCACTGTTTATCGTCTATGTGGTCGTGGTGCATCCCCACCCCATCTTCAGACCTGATCTCAGAAGTTCCTGATAAACCTTGACCAAACCATCTGAGTGCTGAAACCTGCCTTGACTGTCCCAGTGGAGCCTGAGACACTCCCTGATCCCACCAGGAGCTCGTGCATGGTACGGGTGGGAACATTCAGAATCAAGAGGGGAATTTTCAATAGGTGCCTTTACACACCTGGAAACAGGAGCACACAGGGCTTTACCCCCATGCATGGGAACTGATTCTGGGATGAATGTTCCTGTCCCAAATCCAGAGTTAAGGCATTTTTATAACTACAGCAAACCTATTGAATCGCTTTGTAAATGTTAAAGTGCTCAGTGATTCAGTGCTGTTAAACCCTTTGGCAGCGTTATCTTTGCAGCCATACCCTTTGCACTCCCGTTTGCATTCCCAGCTTCTGTGTAAGTCATTCCAAATGGCTTCTGATCTGATCTTCCTGTGTGTGCTTTAACCTGGGCAGTAACAGAGCAACTCCTGACACCCAACTCTGTAAAGTCCCGTTTTCACAAATTCAAATTAAACCTACTTTTGCCAATACCTTTGATGGTGTTTCTTTAAAAAGCCAAACCCTTTATTTCTGACACAATTTATGAGATCTGAATATTTTACACAAACCTGCCACTAAAGAAGCATCAGGTCTATGACAAAACAGGTTCCCTCATCACACACCTGATGATTACAACAAACCAACCCAGAAACTCATTAATTTTCAACTGTTAACATTCAAATTTCCAGGAGATAGTAAGTGTCCCAGCAATTTGCAGGACTACTTCTGCATAATGTGCATAGGAAAAAATACAGATTTGTTTTGTTACTCCATAAAAATAACAGAGACATGTAATGCATTCCCACTCCTTCACTCAAGTTGTATGAGAGATGTGACCACTGAAAGAGCAAATAAGAGATAAGCAAAGGCCTGAGTCACATACAAAGGACTTTTTTCTAAAATGTACCACCTTCATGCTACCTCTGGATCTACTCACCTTTTGCTTGTTTGTTCTGTGTGTTTCTTAGTTTTTTGGTTTTTTTTTGCTTTGGATGGTCGGATGTTTTTTACATAATGAAGAACATCACTGACAATATGTTTTAAAATGAAATGATGCATAAAAATGTACAGCTTGCTGCTCCTTCTTCAGGCAGGAGCCCCAGGCCCCGTGCTCCCAGTGCAGCTGGGAAGGGATTCCAGCTGCATCCCAGCTACAAGCAATGATTCCAGGCTTTGCTATCTGGTGAGGATTCTGCTTGGAAACTACTGGAAAATTTCTAAAGAGGGAGTTTTCTTACATCTTGCTTTCAGAAAGATTTTGGATTCTGTTTCTTCAGAATAAGAATTAAAACCAATGTTCCCTGCCCCAGGAAATCCCTGGTTAATACGGGTATGGAAACATAATCGGGGATTGCTTGGAGCCACCCTCCTCTTGGATTTATCACTGTCAGGTTATTTTATTGTTCTGAGCCTGATACAGGTGTGTTCCTGCAGCACCGATTAGAAATGAGCTGAGCCAAAAATCCACCAGACGCACCTGCTGCCATGAGGGTGGAAGGCTGAGATACTCCAACTGAAATCACACAACCAAAACCTGCTGCTCTCACTGCCAAGGTCTGCTTTGGAAAAGGAAGAGACAAACTCCTGGGAGAGATTCTTAGGTCATCGCTATTATATATTTATATATTTTAATGTATTTTTTTATGCAATCAAAAAGACTCATATTTGAGGAGATATTTGGGAGCTGATTTTATTGCTGTCAGTCAAGTTGCAGCTGTTGGCATCCCCTGAGGTGTGGAACAGGTGAAGCTCCAGCTCCAGCCTCCCCTCAAACACCTACACCTAAAGCCTTCACTGGGTTTCCGCTCCACAAGTTCTGTGGGAAGAGATTCCCGCTGTGTTGCAGACACAGCCTTGTGTCTGAGTACTTCAGTATTAATACTAACAAACAAGCCAGCAAGAAAGTAACACCTTGTCTCAAAGGTACAGAGCATCAGGAGAGAGGAAAACCTCCTTCTGGTAGAGGCCGCAGGAGGAGGGAAGGGGGTGAAGCCCCCCTCGAGTTCCCAAGGTGGGGATTATCCCAGACAAGTCAGGGGGCTGACAGAGACCCTGCAGTCAAATCTAACAGTGATGTTACGAAGAAAACCTTGTGCAAGACTAATAATTTTAAACATATTTGTCATTTTTATATCTCCTAAATAATGGTTATATAAAATAATGGAGAAAAGAATACGATTACTATAAATCTGTCAGCAGCACTGGGCTTCTGTGGCTCATGTTTGAAGGTTTAGCCTCCCTGAGTGGATCCTCGTTTAATCCTCTCCCATGGTTCAACCCTGCAGAGAAAGGTTCTTAAAACAAATGCCTAATTTCTGAGTTGGAAATACATCACTGGAATTTATTTAATATCAATTTCTCAAATCTCTGTGAGTGCTTTGCTGGGAAAGGTTCTTTGGAGAGGGTGTCAGAGTCGTGGCTGCACTGGAGCTTCACCAACACCCTTCACGTCTGTCCCTGTGTGAGATGGCTCAGGAGGGAAGGCTGGGCTTGAGCCAAAATACATATTTATTATTCCCTAGAAATGCATATTTATGTATCCTCACATGAGGGATCTGTCAGGAGAAGTGTATGAGTGAGAAGAGTTGGACCCAACAGGCACTGGAGGCGATGCCAGATGTCACCAGGCTCACCAGGGGTTTGGTGTCATCGCGTGGGGCCCACGCAGGTCACCCTACAAAGCCCTGTGTGCAAGACCAGGCTGGACAGGGCTTGGAGCAACCTAGTCTAGTGGAAGGTGTCCCTGCCCATGGCAGGGGGTGAAACAAGATGAGTTTAAAGGTCCCTCCCAACCCAAACCTTTCTATGATTCTGATTCTGCACATCTTTGTTCCCCAACACCTTTGTGTGACTCAGGAGTTTGTGCTAGAAAACCAAATTTTACAACTTAAGTTCCATCCAAAAATTACTCAAAGTCCTGCTGAATCTGGTCCCCTCCCAGGTAGTTTCATTTTGCTTTTAAATGCCTAAGGCAACATTTAAAACAATCCCTGTCATTCACAGGCACAGGGAACACGCTAAAACTCCAGCTAGAGCAGGTTTCCCCTTTTTACATTTTAATGAGCATTGGGACTTTTATGCACATTAGTTATGTTGCCCTAATTACTCATTATAATTCTAATGTGCATTTTATATTTAATTACAATGCTTATAAAGATTTGGTATGGACAGTAAATTATTATAACTAGCATGTGCATAATGATTACGAGCTGAATTTATTAACTTTTACGTGAGCATTCAGGGCTGGCAACTTCCAATTTCACCTTTGTAAGCACCCATATTGTCTGATTAAACTAACATTTTTGTGGCATTAATTGTAAATGTCAAAAAAAAAAAGAAAGTCTTTTATTTTCCTAGTTTTCATCAGCTTTTAATTTGGTATCCTAATGTCAGCTTTTGTTAGTGAAATTGCTTTCCAGGATGTTAAGATAAAAACTTAGGTAAGAAAATGGGTTTTGAGATCTGTTTTGCTGCTCAGAAAACCAGATATCAGCAATATTCAAATATATTCATTTAGATATATGTACACATACAGTGTTTTACCAATACAGTAACAAGTCTTTACAAGTGAAACAGTATTAGTTGTGCTTTAGATAATTAAGATGGGCTTTTGACAATCTAGATTGTTTAATTTTGCTAATTTATTCTGAGCATCAGTCCTACCTATTCCCAAAATAATGGAATGGTTTAATAAATGGTTCTTCACATAAAAAACTTCTGTGCTGTGCAGAAACATTTGAGAGACATGCCTGTAACAACCACTGGGCTCAGCAACTAACAAGCTTATTTATTCCATCTTTTCTTGACGACTTATCAAAACACACAGATTCAGTGGGATCTTGACTTGTACATGCACATAAATTTTATATGCCAATGTACGAGATATT